GGGCGTCCGGCACATTATAGGGCCCTGAATATTGGAGAGAAACATGTGCCTCGCTTAACAAACCTCGCCAAATGAAACAAGAATGGTAATAGTGCCTTCACGGGTGTAGTAGCCTGGCCCCGCTGTCTTAAGTTCTGCAAGAGGTGGCAGCTGTTCTTCTGGGGGAACTCTTATCTCCCACTTCATCACCTAAGGCGAAGCTGCTGGCAATGGGGCCTCGATTCGGCAGCTCCCCTAAATGCCAACTTGACTTCACTGGCGATTCAGCTCCGCTGAAACCTCAGAAGTGTTCCACAGCACTCTGCACAGCCACACGTGGTGGCCCTGCTCAGTGGGAAGAAGTCAAGGCCATTCTCATAGCAGCAGGGTGAGGCCAACCTGCGGTACGGACTTCAGCAATGCCCCTCGGGGTCCCAGAAGGAGCCAGCTGGGAATAGACTTCAGGAAGGACCTATAGATCTTATTTCAGTCTATTATCTAAGATTACGACCCACTCGAAGCAGCTCAGACCAACTTGCTAGTTTGTTGACATCACCGATAATCACAGAAAAAAAAGATGGACAAAAGGCAACCCGCACCTTACCGGAGAGGCATTCAGTGGCCACTCGCCCCCACATGTGACCCAAAGGTGCACAAGGCACTTCAGTTAGGTTTTAGGGTCAACATTCCATTGGTCTGGGGATCACATGGGTAGAACCATCATATGACTGCAGCCCTGATTGTCAGATTTGGCGTAACCCCAGTAACCCAGGCGTCAGAAAGCAAAATGTGCCGAACTAAGAAACAGATAACTCAGTGTCTTCAGTAAATATATTGGAAGCCAAAATAAAAAGTACAAGACGCAGACTTAAGAGACATATCATCCAAATGCAATGGGGACCTTACATGGATTAAGATTCAAACAAACCAAATGTAAAACTTAAGAGACAGGAAATTCTGAACACTAACTAGATATTTGATATTAAAGAATTATTAATTGTTCGTATAATAGGGTATTGACCTTTATGAGATACATATTGAAATATGAGAAAATGACACATTTGGTATTTGTTTCAAAATAATTCATAAAACGAGAAATAATTTGATGACCGTTGTAAGTTAGTGATGAATACACAGGGAGTCATTGTACTGTTTTCTCTACTTTTCCATATGTATGAAAGTTTCCATAATAAAAAGTGAAAATATTTTTAAGTTCTTGTACAAAAAAATATGCAACAAAGAGGCTCATAGCATTATAATTGGGGACGAGTCATACACATTGCAAGCAAAATAATGTTGCCTTAAAAATGCAAATGAAGTCTAAAAAGTTCCACACATGGTAGTTACAATTTCCACATTCAATACATCATTCCCAAGATAAATTAAAAGGTAAACATTTTAAAAGGAAGGCCTAAAAATCATACATTTTGCAAGGGATCACCTGCAAGTTTTGGAATTAATTCCGAGTTTTCTGCATTCTCAAAACTCATAGTGTCTCGATTCTTTGGATCAGTCCCATCTCCAGGGACCTTTGTATGAGGTCATTATTCAACAAACACTGATACCTGTTAAGTGCTCACACAACCTCGCTCTCCGGAAGCAGACATTCTAGATGGGGCTGCAGACATGGTAGCAGGCCATTACAGCAAAATGTGCGAAGACTCTGAGCGTATGTGTGTCTATAAACTTTTAAGAATAATTCTAAGAGTGAGGCTCATCATGAGACGGCAGATCACATTTGATGCTGTAATTTACTTCCCATGCGCTATCGCCACCATTCTCAATACCCAGAACGCTACCTCTTGAAAACTCTGGTTTAAATGTTTTATTTCATACTAAGTGGATAAAGAAATACTAGAATTGGCACAGAGGGGCTATGACCACCCCTGATGTTTTGACAAGAAGATTACCTCACATTTCAAAGCTTAAACCTTTTGTATGAAATAAAAATCCAAGAGCTTTTCCCTTCTCCCAGCTGAAGTCACTTATTTTACCATAAATAAACCCTTTGGGAATTGCCATGAGATGCATCATCCTGGATGGTGGGGAAAAAAAACCTAGATAATATGTTAATGCTTCTAAATCAGGGGTCCCCGACCCCCAGGCCGCAGACCGGTACCATTTGGTGGCCTGTGAGGAACAGGGCCGCACACCAGGAGCAGAGCAGCGGGTAAGCAAGCGAAGCTTGATCTGTATTTGCAGCCGCTCCCCAGCGCCAGCATCACCGCCTCAGCTCCGCCTCAGACCATCAGGCATTAGATGCTCATAGGAACACCGGTCTCTGATGCCACAAAGGTTGGGGACCGCTGCCCTAAATGATTCATTAAGTCTGATCATCGAATGACCTATTGGCTGATTTCCCTAAAAGACCTTCCCACCAAACGTGATACCTTCAGCTTGGTGTGTACGCCTTTAACACAAGTTCATTCTTTAGTCATATTTTCAATCATAGTGCTTATGCTGCCATTTTTGTCAGGATAATCGTAGCGGGTATAGATGTCTGTTTCCGTAATCTAAAACCAACTAAAAAAGAAAGTAGACACCAAGATACCAAAATCTTTCATGCTTAAAGGCAAATGTATTCCGTTCCTTTCCATGTAACACACAGTAAGGTATCTATGCACCTGTTCTTTTCCAAACCAAGTTTGCGACGACCTTTGAGGGTCCATTCGTCCTCCGTGGCGAGTCATCTTGCGCCATGTTCCGGTATCTTACAGAGGGAAAGGAACGTTCTTGCTGACCTACAGACTAGTCAGGTGAGGAGTGTTCTGGGAGGAGAGCTAATGTCTATCGTGTCTTCCATCACGGTCAAGCTCACGGCTGGGCCGTATTGACTTGCACCAACGGACGCCTACAGAAGCCATTCGGATGCGCCACAGCAGGGAGGAAGGCACAGGAGAGGAGGAGGAGGAGGTTCGATGTCCTCTAGTGGAGTGAGGAGGCTGCTAGCTGGAAACACCAGGAATAATGGAAGTGAAGTCATCCTCCTTAGGATGCCATGCCAAGCAGAAAGCCTCCGAAAAAGCCACCAGTCACTAGAACATTCTTCTTCACAAATAACACCACCTACGAACAGAGAATAGCACGATGGGTTATTTTGCTAAGGAAATCGTTATTAAAAACCACCTCTCTTACCTAGGCAGTCCTGACAACACCAATCTCCTTCCCTGTTGAGTAGCTTGCGCTTTGCCCACAAGGCAATGGGAGCCGGGAACGGACGTCCATGTGAAGACACCGGCTGCTGAGGGGAAGCCACACTACAGGGAGCCCGACCGGAGGCAGGATGCGGATCGCGAGGTGAGATGATGGGTGTTGGGGTCAGGGTGCGGCAGGCGTGCTAGGGCACCGTGATCAAATTCGAGGGATGTTTTCGAGACAGGGCCTTGTGCCAGAGGACTGGCCACGTGGGGGATGCGGAGGGGATGTCATGGGCGACTCAGTGGCTTCTGTCTTTGGTAACAGAGCGGAGAAATCCGCTCGGAAGTTTATGCAGGGCCGGGGAAGGACAGAGGCCACGGGGGCCGTTATGGGGAAAGGAGCAAAGCCGCCATTCAACAGACTGGTGACAGAGGCTAGTCGCGACTTCCGGTTTCACGCCTGCCATTTTCTTGCACAGCTACTGTGCAGTGGAGGCTGCGTATCCCTGCGGTCCCTCCACGCACTCGTCCCATCCGGCCTCGGTCTGTCCATCCATCCGCCCATCCCGCTCTGAGGAGATGCTATCAATTCTTATTCTGACACTTCTCCGCATCGGAGGGTAATGAACAGGCGAGGTCCTCATTTTCTGAAATTCCCAAGGCCTCCCACCTCCTGTAAAAGTTCCCGCTCATCTCAGGCTCGGAGCCCACGGCCAGCACCCTCCGGCGCCCATGGCGTCCTCCGCGGTCTCCACCCGACAGGACTTGGGTGAGTGGGTCGGACGTGCTTTCTCCCACGTACCTTAGAAACTGTCCATAGGGACCACACATCCAGTATCCAGTATCCTGGCCTAAGCTAGAGGACAGTGACTTCATCCCCAAACCATTTAAAGCCACTCACATCCTGACCTCCCCCTGATCTTTTCCACACTCCACTACCCTATCCTCCTGGGACCCTCCAGCATCCCCCCCCACCGCCAACTCCCACTGGGCCTACGTCTTCCTGCGTCACTTTCGCTCCCCGACTCGACTGGGCCCCACAAGTCCCTACTCGAGGCATCATCTTTTGTCATCTACCACCAGGGAGAATAAAATAATCATACAACTTCCTGAAATAACTGCTGTCATTATCTTTACTTTCTTTTTTCCTACTCATTCAAGCTGCTAGAGTTTGGCTTTCAACTCCATCGCCCCAGTAAAGCTGTTCTCACAGAAGTCACAGATGACTTCCTTGTCGCTAAATACTGAATTGACCATCTTCATTCCCTGCTTCCCAAATAAGACCATGGGCTCCGAGGGGGGAACCAGGCACTCTGAGGCATGAGACAGTGCCAGGCCACAAAGAGGAACACAAAAATGTGTGGAATAAAGCAATTCCCAACCTTTCGGTTAATTTATAATGAGTTCCCTCTGCGAGTCAGCAGTCGGTTCTAATCAAGCATTAACCTCATACTTTTTAAATTATATACTCTTCCTGTATCATTAAAGAAATTTTCAACAGTCGTGTATTACTTTTATAAACATCTGAATAGTAAAGCTTTGGCGAAATGAAAAAAGCGTAACTTTCATAACCTGGAGTTTGCGGAGGAGAGATGGCGGGAGGGAAGGAGAGCGGGGGGTACCGTCTGAGCTCCCTCCTAGATGCCACTTTCCACTCCGGGTAAAGGAAGGACCAGCTTTGGCCAAGCACTCGCCACCGTACAAAGACTGTCATCGTGGACCTGGCCACGTGGAGTTCTGCTCAGTTTCTTCCGGTCTAAGTCATTTACCACTCATCTGTCTGCTTCCCAACACCCCCAGGTTTGCTGACATTTGTTGTCCCCTGGTACTCCTCTGCTGTCCTCTTGGTCCTGGTGGGTTTAACCTTTTTTATTTTGTTACTGTCATTTAGAAATATTTCAGAAGGAAGCAGAGATAAATGTGTGTGTTTAATCTGCCATGTTTAACCTAAGTCTATCTACGACCACCTGTTTGATTACATGACTTCCTCCTGTCACTGCTACTAGAGTGTGGGTGCCTTGGGGACAATGCCTGTTTTCGATTTAGCTCTAAATCCCCGCTCTGCTCTCAATCTGTCCCTTTCCTCTGTGAATCCAGAACCCCAGTGTCCAGGGTATCAAAGGTGCCAGGCACCTTCTGTGCCTTCTTGGCGCCTTGATCCTGGTTCACTTCCAGTTCAGTGCGCTTACTTCTTTGGGACGGCTGACATATTTCTAAAGGTAAAAAAGCAGTAGGAAAATACATCCCTTTAAAAAGGAAGACGTTTTCCCATCCCTCTAGCGCCAGCCACAATAACCTAACCTGGTTTTATGTATTAGCTCGGGGGTACGTAAACTACACCCCGCGAGCCAAAGCCAGCCGGCCGCCTGTTTTAAAATAAAGTTCCGTTGTAACTCAAGTGCATCCACTTGCCTATGTATCATCTATGGTTACTTCTATGCTACACAGTGAAGTTCTGTAGTTGTGACACAGACCACGTGGCTTACGAAGCTAAAAATATTTACTATTTGGCCCTTTATGCAAAACACCGTCAACCCCTGGGCTAGACATCCCGCTAGCTGTGTGTGGAACAAGTTAAGGACATTTCAGAGCTGTGTGTGCATGGAGACGAAATATGACTTAAATGATCATACTGGCTGTGCGAACTACATCCCCATCAGCCCCCCACCCCACTTGCTGTGCTGCCCCCACCCCTGCGAGACCCAGGTCAAGGGGCGACGGACCCACATACATGCACGTGTCATTTGGCATTCTCCCTCACTGACAAAAGTCACCGAAATGCTTCGATGACCCGGCTTTAAAAAACCGCCTGTGAGGTGAAGATTTTCCACCCGAGGTTGCCAAACAGGTGTGTCGAGCCCCGTTTCTGACCGCGCGAAGTTGTCTTCCCCCATCGCGTGGCGCGGAAATGAAGCCAGACTCACCTCCTCCGCCTTGCTCTTCATCTCCGTAGGTAACTGGCTGCCTTTGCGGATCTTCAGCTGTTCCTTGGCTTTTTTCATGTCCTTCTCTACGCGCTGCCAGTCGACTTTGATGTACCCGGTGTGGTTTGCAAGCTATAGTTTCGGCAACGACAGCAAGAGATAAGAAACACAGGCTTGTTATTTCTTTTTGTCGGCATAAATCACTGAAGTACATTATCGAAAATCCTTCCGACTTTCCATTTTGGAGACATTTTCCATCCGGTTCTCTGTATGACAATGACATTCACTCGACATCTACCGAGCATCCACCCTACGTGCAAGGCCCTAGGTCTGGTGCCAGAAATCAACGGACTGCCCTTCAACGGCTGCTGACGATTCTCTTTATTTATGCTTTTACCCCTCTCTAAAAAGTTTTAGGTTAACTTTAAAAAAATGGTAAAATCGGAACTGGAAGTCAAGATGCAAGTTGAAGAAACGAACTTTACGGCCAACCTGAGTCTGAATTTCGTCCAGGATGTAAACAGAGCAAGGCTGAGAGGCAGGGATCCCCGTTGCCCAGAAAACCTTCTAGCACGTGACGCTACAGAGATTTCTCACAAGCGGTTCATATACAGATACTGGGGGAAGAGCACCCGATATACCTAGAGGATATGCCTACTGCCCTCGGCAAAGACAGTACGCACAAACACTAAAACACGGTGAAAAGGATTTCATCGGGGAGGCGTGCACTGGATCAAATGGATTCAAGTACACAGTTTTCTGACGGATTCGTGTTATGCAAGGAACAGAGAGACCGATCATAGCCCATCAATCGATCCTCCATCACTGTCACTTTCTCCATCACTTCATCACTGTCTTCTGGTTAATGGCAGCACCTACTATGGTACCCGAAGCAGGCCGGAGAAAATATCTGCAATATATATAATAAACGAAACGATAATACTCATAAAAAGAAGTAAAATTCGTCTAGAGATCAGTAAGAAAAAAAACCACTTGAAAAACGGGCAAAGGCAACTGACGGAAGAAAGCGGACAATCAAAGGAAAAGTTCGGCTTTAAAAGTAACCGAGGAAATTCAAATGACAACGAATGAGCTACTATCATTTTGTATCAGATTCGAGACAATTAAATGATCGAAAATATCGAGCGTCGGTACGGATGTGGGAAAACAGACACTGTGATCCCCTCTTACGGAGACTTATCTCGGAGCCTTTTAAGAGGGCGACACGCCATTATCCACCGACATTGAAAGAGCACGCAGCATCATGCCACATTCGGAACGGCCGCTCTTCTCGTAGCCGCTTTAACGGTCAATAGCTGGAAATAACGCAAACGTCCGTGCACGTGTGAATGGATAAGCAAATCGAGCCACGTTTACACAACAGGGTACTACTACTCACCATCAAAAGAAGAAACTGCATATAGCGGCGACAGCGTTCAATGTCAAAAACTGTACGCTAGACCAAGTTTCCAATTCCTTTGCTCCACCCTGGCTCTCCCACAAAATAAATGGAAGTGCTCCTTGAGGATTCTGACGACGGAAGAGCAGATGACTGGAGAAACCCAGAACTGTGTGCGTCCCGTTTCCCCTCCTGTACCACGTGGCCTACAGCCAAGGCAGGACTCGGAAAATAATGGGACAAAATTCAACACACACTCATGAGAAAAAGTCTCAGAGAATCAGGTAGAGGAGGAACACTTCCTCAACTTGATAAAGAGCATCTACAATGACAGCCACGGCTAACGTGGTGCTCACTGCTGAACGCCTGAAGGTGTTTATCTAAGTGGACCGAGTGGACAAGGGACAATCACTCGGATTAATGGGACGGAATAGAAAGTATAGAAAAAGACAACCCAATTTAAAAATGCGCAAAAGAGTCTACGGCCATGCCACCCTGAATGTGCCCGATCCCGTCTGATCTCGGAAGCTAAGCAGGGTCAGGCCTGGTTAGTACTTGGATGGGCGACCGCCTAGGAAGACCAGGAGCTGTAGGTGTAAAAAGTAAAAAATAAGGGATTGTAAGCTGACAAGGTCCTTGCAATCTGTGAGGTCAACCAAGGGGTACCTCCCCTAAAAATAAAAAGGGGGGGGCACAAAAGAGAGGCAGAGATAAACAATGGGGTAAAGACAGTCTCTTCAATAAATGGTGCTGGGAAAGATACATGCAAAAAAAAATGAAACTGTTCCACCTTCGTACACCACGTACAATAGACTCAAACAGGATTAAAGACTTAAATGTAAGACCCGACACCATTAAACTTCTAGAAGAAAACACAGGCAGTAAACTCTGATATTGCTATTAGTAATTGTTTTCTGATATACCTCCTTGGGCAAGGGGACAACAGAAATAATAAACAAATGGGACCACATCAAACTAAAAAGGTTTTGCACAGCAAAGAAAACCATCAACAAAACCGAAAAGACAACCTACCGAATGAGAGAAGATGTCCACCAATGATATCTCCGACAAGGAGTTAATATTCAAATTTTATAAAGAACTCCTGTAACTCCACACCAGAAAAACTAACAATCCGATTAAAAAATGGGCACAGGATCTAAATAGACATTTCTCTAAACGAGTTATACAGTTGGCCAATAGACATATGAAAAGATGCTCGAGGTCACTAATCACCAGAGAAACGCAAGTTGAAAACACAATGAGCTATCACTTCACACCTGTCAGAATGTCCATCATCAATAAATCAACAAATAACAAGCGCTGGCGAGGATGTGGGGAAAAGGGAACCCTCGTGCACTGTTGGTGGGATTGCAAACTGGTACAGCCGCTATGGAAAACAGTCTGGAGCTTCCTCAAAAAATTAAAAATAGACCTATCTTATGACCCAGCAATTCCACTCCTGGGTATTTATCCAAAGAAATCCAAAACACTAATTTGAAAAGGTCTGTTCACCCCTGTGTTCACTGCAGTGTTATTCACAGCAGCCAAGATATGGAAGCGACCTAAGTGCCTATCAATAGATGACCGGATAAAGAAGAGGTGGAACATATTATACAGTGGAATATAACTCAGCGATAAGAAAAATGAAATGTTACCTTTGCAACGACATGGATGGACCTAGAGGGCATTATGCTAAGTGAAGTAAGTCAGATACGGAAAGGCAAATACCGTATGATTTCATTTACATGTGAAATCTAAGGAACGAAATAAATGATTTCTCGAACAAAATGAAAAGACATAGAGAACAAACTGGTGATTGACAGGGGAAGGAGAGATTGTGGGGTTGGGTGATAAAGGTCAAGGGATGGAGAGGTACAAATTAGTAGCTACAAAACAGACACGGGGACATGGGGTACGGCACGGGGAATAGAGTTAACAGTAGTGCAATGGCTGTGTGTGGTGCCCGCGGGTGCTACAGCAATCGGGAGGATCGCTTCATAAATTATGTAAATGTCTAACCGTTGTGCTGTACCCCTGAAATTAATATAAAATAACAAAATATCAAAATAAAAGGTTATGCTCGTACAACTGGCATTACATAGCATGTTAAAGAAAAAAAAAAAAAGTACAAATTGGCAGTTACAAAATCGTCACGGGGATGTGAAGTACAGCACAGGAAATACAGTCAGTAATACTGTAATAACCATGTGTGGTACCAGGTGGGGCCTAGGCTAATCGGGGGGATCACTTTGTAACTTGTATAAATGTGTACCCACTATGCTGTACTCTTGAAACTAATGTAAAATAATAATATAAAATAAAACTGTAATTGAAAATAAATAACTTTTAAAAATGGGCAAAAATCCTAAAGAGACACTTCACCAAAATGGATGCAAAGATATCGCACATCGCCGGCTGCGCCATTCTGCACCTATCCATTGGGAGTCAGGGCCGGGGCGAGTGCCCAAGGAAAGCCACGAGAGCGAGTAAAGCTGTCACATATCTAGGAATAGCATGGAACCACAGATGTACAAGATCTACATGGAAAAAAATAATAAAAGTCAATGCAAAGACATTGAAGACCTAAATAAATGGAGAGAAAGCCCATGTTCACAGAGAGATGACTCCATAGCATAAAAGATGTTCATTCTTCCCAAATTTACCTATATAGTTCCCAGGCAATCCCAATCAAAATGTCCACAGAATTTTTGAAAGTAATCGACGAGCCTGTTCTAACATTCAGATGGACGAGGAAAACTTCCGAAGCAGCCACAGTGCTCCCGAAGACAGTGTGTGGGAACTCGTCTTACCGACCGTCAGGGCCTAGGAAAGGGAGAAAGGGGCCGGTGGAACAGAATGGAGAACCTAGAATCAGATCCACACACACGTGGCTTCTGGTGTATGATGGAGGCAACGCTTCGAATACTGGGGAAAAAAAGCCTGCAGTAAATGCTGCGGGGACAATCATCAGCATCAAAGAAAGGAAACGGGATCCCTGTGTCAAACCACAGCCCCGCTCTCCCAACATTACGCCTACCCCTACCCCGCCGTCATCCGTCTGATGACAGATCAGGTGAGGGCACAGCGCAGACGCCCGCTGTGCCACGTACCCGAGCAGGGAGGCGCCCCTGCACTCCGGGAGTGTCCGACCCACGAGGCAGCAGAACCCCACTGAGTCTTCCCAGAGACACTTCCAATTCTGGATTAGTCTGGCAGCCGGGGCCCCGGACGAGGGCAGCTCAGATGCAGGCACTTCGAAGCCACATTACGGTATTTACGAAGTGAGGGGCAGGCGTAGGGAAGCCTCGGGGACAGAGCAGGACTGTGAGTCTAGCAGCGACGCAGCTGTCCCCGCACTTCCACCTGAGCGGTAAGAGGAAGAAGACGGAAGGCCTGGGGAGGGGGTGCTGCCTGCAGGGAGTGTGACCTGTCCAGTGACAGGGCCGGCGACAAGCCCACAGGAACCTAGCTACCTAACTGGGGGTTAGGAGGAGGCTGCTGGCAAGGTTCTAGTCACCAGCAGAGTGCTACAGACGGAAAAGGAGGTGCCACTTGCACCTGGAACACCTGTGCTTGGAGCCCTGACAGGTCGCTGTGGTGTAAGAAAGCCGAAACTATGCCACGCAGAGGGACAGGGACCTAGTGGAGGAGCCGTGAAACCCTGAAGAGAAGGGGAGAGGGGAGACGGGGAGGCCAGCCGAGCCCGCCACGAGAGCCCATCTTAGCTCTCCCTAAATTCCCGACCCACAGAAACCGTGGGAGGGAATAAAACAGTGGTGGTTTCAAGCAGCAGGCTTGGGGGGCACTTGCCACGCAGCGATACTCTGTCCAGCCCAGGCCGGCCAGCTAGTCGCCAGCCTCCTCCTTCTGCACACTAAATATTCGCCCAACCAGTCTGGGAAACTCACTCATGGTTCCAACGTAGAATTTACCTTGCAAAAATGAGGGATGCCAACTGCGGGAGGAGACAAAGGGTGGCGATCCTCAAAGGCACATTAGAGTCACCTCGGGAGTTCAAACATATTCTGATGTGCAAGCACGCCTACGCCTATGCAGTCTGTGGCAGGCCGCAAGCATCAGTGCTTGTTAAGACTCCAAGGTGATTCCAAGGTCAAGGCAGATTTATAAACTGATGCTACACAAGCAGCCTGAGAGAACCAGCACCCCGAGTTTTAGAAATTAAGTCTGGGCCAGAGAGACAGCAGAGGACATCTGTCATGTAGCCCTCATTTCTCATCGATTGCTCCAGGCTCAATGTCTCCTCTGTAGAAGCTGGCAACATTAGTATATGGGAATAAATCGTGTCACAGGGCACTTACAGGGTCTTAAAACCCCCGTAAGGGATCTATATTAAAAGATATGCACTTATATCTCCACGTTATAAATGATGAAATAAAATACAACTAGTAATTGATGAAGTTTGATTCGAATGGTCACTAGGGTTTCAAACAATACATGTGAGCAAGTGTGAAAGCTCTTCTAGTATGATATAGGCAGGACTTTATTGCGGCTCCTCACGCCCCAGCCCTGACGGGCAAGGGGAGCGTTCAAACATCGAGAAATATTTCACATACAAACCTGAAGGAGGAAAAATCCACCACCCACAGCTGTCGCAGCCAACTTGCCAACCTTCTGGAATATGAAACCCGTGCACCTACAAAAACCAAACCAACGTCAGACAAGTTGATAGGCTGTCGGGTACAAACAGTTGTCAGACATATATAGTATTATTCAGCCAGAAAATTCAGCCCTTTGCAACAACGTGGATGGACCCAGAGGAGATTATAGTAAGTGAAATAAGTCAGGCAGAAAAAGATAAATACTGTACGATCTCATTTATGTGTGAAATCTAATTTAAAAAAAAACTGCTAGAAAAAGAGATCGGGGGGAGGGGAGGAGGGCCTGGAGTTAGGTGGTCAAAAGGTACAAATCTGCAGCGAGAAGATAAACAGGCGCCAGGGATGTAATGCGCAATGTGATGACGATAACTAACGCTGCTGTGTGCGACACGGGAAAGTTGTTAAGACAGCAAATCCTAAGAGTTCTCATCGCAAAGAGAATTTTTTTTCTTTCAATGGTGTCTATATAAAATGATGGTTGTTAACCAAACCTACTGTAGTAATCACTTCACATTACGTAAACCAAACCGTCATGCCGTAGGCCTTAGACTTACACAGTGATGGATGTGTTATTACTCAATAAAACTGGGGGGAAATGAGGATTGATAACATCAGTTCCAATTTCAGAGTTGTGAGAAGGAAATGATGTGTCTATATAAATACTTTGAACAGTACCCGAGGTGTAAGAAATACTATATGTGACCCAGAACTTTAGCATGGTGTTTAGAGAAACGCCACATGTTATGTGATCTATTTCACAGAAGTCAATGCGTTTTTGTTGGTTAAAGGAGATGATTCCTATAACCGCAATACTAAATCGTGCAAAAAAAGAAAAAAAAAGACACCGGACATCTCTCACACCACTTACCATCCAGTGACACCTCCAATTAATAGCTGGGTCGCCACGCTATACTTTTCAACGGAGGGCCCAGATTCCTGCCCGAACAACTTACGCCACCATGGCTGCTTTTTAGCATATTCTGCAAGGTCCAGTGACTCAAAATTCCCCTCAAAGTTTCCTACAAGAAATAAGATGCTTAATAATAGTTACTTTCACAATAAATTACTACCATTCTCTTAACTAGATTAAGGAATTTTTAAATAAATACGTCGTAATAAGAACCGCCAAATATTATTCTTTTTGTCTAGAATTCCAACGTGTTATTCATTGCGCCACAGTGCCAGGTACCCAAATATTATTCTATTTTAAATAGTAAATTAACTCTGAAATTCTGACTAATGATTTTTGGAAATCAGACTAAAATCAACAAACAGTATCGGTCTTAGAGAAAAAAAAAACCTGGAAATTTATAATCAGTATTTTAGGTTTTCCTCTCAAAATGAAAACCAACCAAAAGGACTTAGGAAAAACTGCAAGTAATACCTAAGAATGCATCCTAAATGAAATGGATTTTCTTCATTTGCCTCTCCTTTTCAGAAGTAACTCAATACTATTCGATAGCCCACAAATTCACAAATTCTCAGTATTATGTGGATCCCAATGACAATAAAAATAAGAAGTAATGTTTAATTGAGCTCTATATGTTAAACATGCATATCTAATTAAATGCACAGAACAAAATAGGTACAACACAAGGTACTGTTGATTAACCCCATTTTATAAGTAAGAAATGGAGAGTCAGAAGTGATTTGCCCAAGAAGGGAAAAAGAGTTAACAAAAATGTCTAATCCCTTTCTCTGTGGGAAGATAACGTAGGGATAAATTTAATGAAAGATGAGCAAGACCTCTATACTGTAAATGACAAAACACTGCAGAGAAAAACTGAAGAATGACCTAACTAATGGCCATACATACCACATCTATGTTTTGCAAGACCTGATATGTTTAAGATGTTCATTCTCTCCATATTGATCTCCAGACTCCACGTGTTCCCAATCAAAAGGCCGGTTTTTATCTAGAGATTGACAAGCTGCTTCTAAAATTCACTTGGAGACAGACACACTGGATGTCTAGAGTACTGTTCCAGTTGCTAAGGCTGTACAGGAAATTACCCCCAAAACGTGACGGCGGAAAAACAATCATCCGCTCTGTTCTCAGATCCTGCGGATCAGCACTTTGGACAGGTACAGCACTGTGGCTCATCTCCGCGGCAACGTGCCGAGGCTTCGACTGGAAGACTAACAGGCCGGATCTGGAATCATCTACTGTGGTCACACATACAGGCTGCCCCTCTATGTGGGACATTTTGGGCTTCTTTAAAGCATGGTGGCTGGGTTCAAAGGTGCCTATCCCACAGGAGAAAGTGAGAGAGCGAGGGACCTTGAGGGCAAGGCAGAAGCTATGTTACCATTTAAGTCCCAGCCTCAGAAGTCATGCAGTGTCACGTCTACTGCATTCTGTTGGAGCGGTCACAAACTCCCGCTCAGATTCAAGAGCCCATCACTCAGCGGAAGGAGTGGCAAAGTCGCACCGAGAAAAGAGCATGTGGAATGAAAGATACTGGTGGCCAAAGCAATGTTGGGTAGAAAAAAAGGAAGTTCAAAGGATTTCAAGACTTCTTATAAAGCTACAGTACAATACAGCTAGCTATCTGATTTCAAGACTTACAAAGCTACCGTATGTAACACAGTGCAGGACTGACCTAAGGATACACAAATGTATAAACAGAAGAGAATACACAGTCCAGAAGTAGCTCCATACATACAGTCATCTGATTCTCAAAACACGGCACCGAGGTCATTCGATGGGGAAAGAAATTCTTTCAACGAGTTGTGTTAGAATTATTAAGCGACTGTAAAAACAAAAACCTCAATTCCTAACATCATATGCAAAATATAATTCAAGAATTAATTCAAGATGGATTATAGATCCCAATTTAGCAGAACTAAAATATGAATGTTTGAGGAATTGGCCTCCTACAGCCTTAGACGTAGCTAAATGAAAAGTTTTTCCTAATACAACAAAACGTTACTGCTATTTTAAACAAGAAATTCTCTCCCCGGGTTAAGTAATATCACTGGAAAACAAGAATGAGCTTGGAGTTTTGCTTTAATGGAATTTTACTAAACCCCTTAGCTCAAAAGGGGGATCGAATTTGAGACGTTTAGTTCACGCGACTTTATTCAGTCATTCAACAAACACCGTTAAGCACTATATAGACCAAAGTAAGTCACTAGCCTTGCTCGTGGACCGAAGAAATCAATGATCACAGTATTATGTGATCATCACCATGATAAAGATGGAAATTCATGATGTCGACTTCGAAAGCACCGGTTTTGGGGGAGGGCTGACTTGTAGTGTATGCGAGTGTGGTCACTTGCCGAGAGAACGTCACTCAACTGTGACATCACTGAACACAGAGCTGGGAAGAGATGCACAGTAGTGCTCCATACCATGTTACCTCCACCACGACACAATAAATATAAATAACCTCATGGGCACAGATAACAGTAGAACACGGCAAATAATAAATGTTTTGAGTATTTTCACTGCCTTTGTTTTTAACATAATGTACGTACTTTTAAGTTTATATAATCGATTTTTCGATGACGGCTCTGTTTAGCAATCGGATCTTGTAAGCAAGTGCTGAATTGAAACGAACCAGGAAACACTGAAAGACTAGGAGAAGCATGACTTAAAGACGTGCTCCACTGCGGACTGTCATCCGGGAATCTTCCCCTGACTGCGCGGACTAAATAAAAAACTATTTCAAAGTACCATCCCAGTGTACTAGGCTTTGAAAACCTTTGGAAACCATCAACGGTGCAAGGGGGGGCGCTTTGCACACTGAGAGACACTCCTCGGGTGTTCGAGATGAACGTCCAAAGGGATAACGCCACCGCCTTAGTCTCAAAGCGCCAGGGCGCTTCCGAGAACAGGGACGGAATGTCTCCGCGCTTAGGCTGTAGGGGCGGCGCCGGAAGGCTGAGCGAGCGCAGGGGACAACACCGGGGGCAGTTCGGCCCCAGCCAGGCGCCTGACCTTGGCCGGCCCCTGGGAGCCGCTGGGCCAGGGGCGAGTCCCGGCCGCCCTCCCCGCCCCTGAGCCGCGTGGGCTCCCTGGGGACCTCTGCCGGGCCTGGCAGGCACCGAGCCCTTCCCCTTCCGCAGCCCCGGAAGGCGGCTCCCCGCAGCGCCAGCGGCGGCGCGCGCGCCCGTCCTTACCTTGACTGGACGCGGCCATTTCTGCGAGCTGTTCTCGCGATGACACCTCCTGGGGCTCGGTACGGTACGACACGGAGTGGCGCGCCGTCATCGCCGAAAGCTGGTTTCCGGCACGTGGGGGTGATGTTTCCATTCCCGCGGCGGCAGCTGAAGAGGGCGGGCCCGGCGCTGGGCAGCCACTCCCCATCCCCCGCGCGCGGCTGCGTCACAAGGCTCAGCGGGCGGTGTCACTAGCCCCAGCGGGCATGCCCAGACGCGCGTGCGCAGAAAGCCTCTCCCGACGGAGTCTCCGCTTGTCGCTTACGCGGTAGGGAGTCCCTGCGGCGGGATCGTGACCCGGCCCTTCCCCAGTAAAGACTATTTACCCATTAGTTTACTAAAAATAAAGAAAGCAGGCTTGTTGTTTGTTCATGTAAACATTAAGCAAATATTTATCGAGGTCTCTATGCCCGACTCTGTCGGAGTGAAGGAAATCAGACATTTAAAAAGCATTTAGACAATCCCAAAACGAAGAGAAGCGCTCTGAATGAAAAAGGCCCGCTTGCCTGCAATGCCTGTGGAGCCCTTTAACCGTGTGCCAGGGCGCATCTCCCCGCCCTACCCCTATGCTACTCCCCTCCCTGTCCCCCCATCCCAGTTAATGGCAGCTTCACCAGTCCAGACACCTCGGTGTTATTCCGAGCTACTCTCAGACCCCACAAATCCAATTCGTCAGCAGCCCCCATAAACTCTATCTCCGCAGCGAATCCAGCCATTTCTCACTCCAGCGCTACCATCTTTGCCCAGGTCGACCTGCTCCTACATTTGTCCCCCTGAAGTCTATTCTCCCCACCGGGGCCAGAAAAATTAGTCTAAAAGGTAATTGTGCTCACTGCCTTTCTCTACTCAGAGCCCTACCGTGGCTCCCCATTGCCCTCAGTGTAGAAGCCGAAGTCCCTTTGCCGAAACGTAACCTCAGTGAGACTTTCCGCGACCTATCCCCATTTAAAATTTGCAAGCTGGTACACCCGCCTTCTCCTGCCTCTGCTTACATTTCATCCCTTGGTATCTGAGACATTGATTCCACGGCTCCCCACAGATAGCCACCTCTGCAGATGCTCAAGTCTCACATCAAATGGAGTAGAGCGGTGAATAGCGTTGGCCCTCCACACACATCGGATTCCCACCCCGGAAGGCAAAACCCACGGATACGAACAGCCAACTGTACTTTCCTTTTGTGCACACCATTTAAATCACCTTCTAACATAGCATGTAAGGTGCTCATGTACCTTAAGTGTCGCTTATTGTCTCAGGTGTAGTTTTCACTGCTGTGCACCCTGTGCCCAGGATAGTGTCTGGCTAGGACAAATGGGTGGTTTTGTAGCCTTGGGCAAACCATTTAACCCTCTCTACACCTCAGATGCTTCATGTGTACATACTCACTTCGCGGTCTCATTGAGGATTAAGTCAGATAATGTGTAAAGCACCTGGCAGAAAATTACCATTGTGTTAGTAACCATTGGACCGTGTCTCCCAGAATGCAAGAACCTTTTATTCGTGTTTGAGGAATGGAAGCATAGCACACAGGTAAGGAGCATAATTTCTAGAGCCAGATTACGTGGGTTTGAATGCTACCACTTACAAACTGTGACCATGGCCAAGTTGCCTAACCTCTCTGTGCTTCAGTTTCATCACCTGTAAAATGAAGACAGGAACAGCTGCATTGGAAAGAGCTTAGAACCATTTCTAGCACGTGGTGCCTGCCAGCTATTACCTCTGCAACCTGGTGCCCGGCAGACATATGGAGAATGTTTACCAAAAAAACCTTCCTCCCCCGTCTTCCCGAAATGAATAAACACGCAACCATGCAGAACTAGACGGTCAATAACACTTTATTGCAACCCTGGTCAAGTTTATTAGCTCCTGTACTTTGAGACCCTTACTCTCCTTCACACATATTAAGCCAAGTAGGGTCTCTGAACTAAGCACAGCCGTCGGTCACTGACGTCAACACCAAAAGGACTCCCCACTTTGTGGGTGCAGTGAATAAAACTATTCAGTGCAAGCAGCTCAACTCTGATACAACACAGCTGAGGAACAGCTCAGTGTCACAGCTAAGTTCTGAGGCAGTTCAGTGTCACAGCTAAGTTCTGAGGCAGCTACCAGGTATTCCTGGAGCCAGGCCCCTACTGGTCGACAGCTCTCTCTGCTCCCGTCGACAGCTCTCTCTGCTCCCGTCGACAGCTCTCTCTGCTCCCGTCGACAGCTCTCTCTGCTCCCGTCGACAGCTCTCTCTGCTCCCGACGACAGCTCTCTCTGCTCCCGACGACAGCTCACTCTGCTCCAATCCACGGTCACACCACTCCTCCGACAGTGTCAACCACGGAAAGGGAAAGTGAGTTTTCCAACGCTGAAGGCACCTTATATAGACAGCAGTCTCCGCCCTTGGTCCCTGATTGGCCCATCCTCATGCAAATATGGACTCCAAATCCTCGCAATTTGATTGGCCCAAAAGGCATTGTCTTGATTGGTCAGAATGGAGCTGTTCTGATTGGTCAGTGAAGGTGCTGATGGGGATGCAGCTGCTCAGCTTCAATTGGATGGGGAAAGCCTTGGTCTTATTGGTTGAAATACTATTCCAGTAACTGCTTCATAAGGATTGGCTCAGCCAGCAGGAACACTGTGCAGGCAGGTGTGCAGTGCAGGCTTCTCCCTAAAATGCAGTTTGCCTGAGAGGCCCCTGTTTAGAAATGGATGCTATCCTCTGATTTTAAAATTGAGCCCAGTTAGCCACCAGGAGTCCTTCTTGATACATATCTTCTCTCTCAGGGTCCACATTATGTAGATATATTCTATACCTGAGCCAAATGTAAACAACCTGAAGAAGCATCAGGTAACAACAATGCAAGATAAATAAATACATAAATTCTGGGAGGTTATGAGTTCTATGTAGAAAAATGAAGCCAGGAGGGATATCGGAAGTACCTGTGTGGTAAGAGAGCTTACTGTGTAAATGTCCATATGTGAGCTTACCGAGAAGGCAAGATTTGAGCCAAGACTTGAAGGGGGTGTGGGAGTGAAAACGTGTGGAGATCTGAGGAAAAAGTGTTTCAGGTAGAGGAAACAGTGCTGAGGTCTCAGCGCAAGTGTGTGCTTGGCGTCTTAAGGAAGAGCCAAGAGCCAGAGTTAGATGAGACCACGGAGGTCATGGCAGATGCTCTAGACCCTGGTAGAGATGTAGGATTTTACTCTGAGATCACAAGCCAGTGGAGGTTTCTGAGCAAAGCAGTGACGGGATCTGCTTTATAGTTTTAAAAAGTCACTTGGTGGTGGCTGTGTGAGGGGCAAAGGTAGAAGCAGGGACACTATTAGAATACTGGTTCCTCTTGCTTATGCAAATGGATTCCAGAATCATCAGTGGCATCTAGAGCTTCTCTTGCTGCTACTAAGGTAGAGAGTTGACTCGGTTAGGAATATGAGTACAAATGAAAGCTACTTTTCACCTTGACCTTCCCTTCCCTCTCTTCCTTTCCTTAAAGGTCCTGATTAAAGTAGCATTCTTGTGCTCTCTTTGCTCTCAGAGGTGAATGGGTTAAGCTTTTTAGCTCAGCCTCCCTTTTCCTATTCAGTTCTTCCTGTGGCTGCTTCCCACTGCCAAAAAGGAAGCAATCCTATCCTTTACTGCTTAGTGCTGCTGCTGTCACATCTCTACAAAAATTTTGGGACTTTTCACTAAATCATAGAAAATGTACTTTTTTTCCTCTCTGGAGCTGAAGACATTTTAGAGAAGAATCAACCTTTCGTTTCTCCCGTTGAACATTTTCTAGCCTCAAGAGCCATGCGAATAGAGCTCTCCACCTGCTTCTTTCTGTGCCTTTTGCCATTCAGCTTTAGTGCCACCAGAAGATACTACCTGGGCGCAATGGAACTGTCCTGGGACTACATGCAAAGTGAGCTGCTCAGTGAGCTGCATGTGGATACAAGGTAAAAGCATGTTCTATAGGGTCCAATCAGGATTGTGGGGATGCGACTCTGGTGGGAGGAAGGGGCAGACTTCAGGTTAGGATGGCTGTGATGCCAGTTAAGCCCCGAAAAAGCATTTCCAGGTAAGGCATGCATGCATCTGTGCTATTAGCACAAATGCTAATCGCCAATCCTTTTCATAGATCTGACCCATTCGTTGATAATTTGTTGTTTTGTCTATTGTTTCTCATTGTTGCATGCTGCCACTCTGGAAACTAGAGTATGAAGTAGAGGAAGGGCGAAGAGGCAAGGATCGTAAGAGAGAGAACAAAGCTTCCCTAGAGAGAAGCAGGCAATGAGATCCCATCGATATTACACACGAGTGTAGTCTTTAGTTCTATTGTGTGTGCATGTGTTATGATTTTGATATCTTTGCCCAGTTCTGGTGTAAGGACAGGATTCGCCATGAGTTCAGCAGCTTTTCATCTTTTGGGAGTCTGCTGCATTTTGGGAGAGTAGTAGTAAATAACCTTTTTAATATTACCTATGGTTATCGATTTATTCCAATTTTTCTACCTCTTCTTTAGTCAAATTTGGTTATATATATTTTCCCGGAAGGCAGTTATTCTTAGATTTGATAATGTATTGGTGTCAAGTTACATAACAGTCTTGTGATATTGTGAAATTCTTCTGTGTCTATAATTATATCTACTTTTGCATTCTTATAGTATGTGTGTTCTCTTTCCTTCTCTCAAAAATATTTCCAGAAAGTTTCTCAGTTTTACTGGTCTTGTCAGAAACCATCTTCTGGTTCTAGCAATTTCTGCTTTTACTTTTATTGTTTCATTTGTTCTTCCTCACTTCCTTAGGTTTATTTTGTTAATTTACTCTTTGCTTATCGAGTCGACTGCTGAAATTGTTTATTTTAAATTTCGTTTTGTTTTCTCGAAATGTGAATTATAAAGATTTAAACTCCATACATATATAATGGCAATGTAAATATGAAATGGGTCATGTCATACGTACTTTACAGTCATTTTCGTTCTGTTTGGCTCCTCACTCTCCTTCTACATTAGCCCCATTCTCGCTTATCCCCAGCCAGGTAACCCTAGGATAATAAGATATATTCATGCACACATATATACCTATATATACAAATAAAAGGGTTTATTTTTTTCAAAAATGGGATAACACATTTCTTGCTCATTAACACTTAGTAGAATTCTGTCCAAGTCAATTGGCCTAGCTTCATTTGATTCTTTTGAATGGCTATATAAGATTCTCTATTGTTCCAGTTTTTTGGCCATCATAGCCCATCTCATTACCTATTTCATTATGTACTGGTGCTTTTATGCCTATGAGACAGATTCTCAAGACAGATATTGCTGGAGTGAACTTAATATTTCCTTTTTAGTTTTAATTTCCAAAAAGGTCTGAACTTCAAACGTTTCTACCATCCATGTCTGGGGATGCCCTCCTCCCCGCATTCGCATCAGCAATAAGTTTTATCTTTCTTTTTAATGTTTGCCAATCTAATATGTATGGACCTGATATTGCATCAGTACTTTAATTGCATTCCTTTTATTTCCGATGAGGTCGAGCATCTTTTCAAATGCTTGTTGGCTATTGCATTTATATTTTGAGATTTGATTATTCATATGTTTAGCCCATTTCGTTGGGCTCTTTCATTTTTTTTTTTAATTACGAGAACCCTTTTGTTACAAGTGTTAACTTTTTGTTATACTAAATATACTAATGTATATTGCAGTTTCCTCCAAGACCTATTGTTCGCCTATTGACTTCATTTATAACTTCTATTTTAAAAGTTTTTAATTTTTATAGTCAAATATATCTATCTCTCCGTTCATAGCTTTGGAGTTGCCAGTGTGGGTTAAAAATGTTTTCTGCACATCAAGGTTGTGTGTGTATTCTTTCAGATTTTCTTGGAAAAAAACTACTGTTTTGCTTTTTACATTTATGGCTTCGATTCATCTCATAATTATTTTTGTATATGGTATGGGAGTGGAATCGGTCTAGGTTTATTTCCATCCAGATCAACAGCCTGTTGCCATGGCACCATTTATCAAATAATACATTTTTTTTGCCACTGATTTAATAAACGTATTCATCATATAAAATTCTCATATATATCAGTATCTATTTTGGGATTCATGATGCTGTTTCACTGATCTTTTATCTTGCTATGTCAATACCATATTGATTTGATTTGGGTCTATAATATATTCTGATAAGTGAAATTGATCATCACTGTTCTTTTGGTACTTTCTTAGCATTTCTTAGGAATTTTATTCTTCCATGTAAAACGGATAAAATGTTTTTCCAATTAAAAAGAGCCAAGCCCTGTTGTGATTCTAATGGAATTTCATTAAAATTATCCATTAATTTTATTAATAAATATACTTTATTATTACATCTATCCCTATACGTTTTATAAATGTTGTTGCTATTGTTAAGGTTTTCTCCCATTTCCATTTCTTGATATTTAGTATCAGAATAAAGGAAAGCTATCTGTTTGTGTATATTCATCTTGAATCTGGCCACCTTACTGAATTCTCTTATTAATTCCAGTAATTTTACTCTAGAGTCTCTGTGGGTATTGAATCGTATCCAAAATGAGCAAAATGAGACAGATTGTAGCTCTTTTCCAGTGTTTATAGCCAATTATAAACACTTTTTCTTATTGAATTTATTAGACAGTCTTAATATTTTGCTTTTTATAATAACATTTGCTGTTTGTTACTTCTAGTCCCATTCGCCATAAAATTTTTATTAGAAATAACCTCAGCACCTCGCATCACATGAATTTTATTCTTTAATATGTTAGAGGACAAATAGATTGTTAATAGATTTCCTGGTATCGAATACCCTTACATTTTGGGGGTACAATCTAATGTTCACATTAATTTCATTATTGCTGGATTCTATGCACGAATGTTTATTGAGACACTGTGTGCTTTTATTATGTGGGATTGATCTACAGCATTATTTTTTACTATTATTATTAGATTTTGGTATTAAAGTAGTTTTATTGGCTTTATCAAATGAATTGGTGAGTGCGCCATCTTTTTCTATCGCTGGGAATGGCTCAAATAACATTACAATTATCTATTGTTAGATAATTGGTGAGGGCACCACTTCCCTGAGACAAGAAGTGACAGTGGTCTTTGTCAACACATTAGGGCTGTAAAAAATGAAAGAATGAAAGAAAAGATAAGAATCGGTTATGAATCCATTTGGTCCAAGTGACTTTTGCAATATCTTCAGGCTCTTCTATGATAATTAGGCAAATCAAGTTTCAACTTTTTTTTGAGTTGACTTTAATAATTTTATACCTTTCTAGGAAATTATTTCCTTTATGTTTTCAAATTTATTGCCACTGCATAAATTTAATTCTTTCACTCCACATTATCTGTAGTTATGTGCCCTTTCTCATTCTTAAGTTTCTATATCTTTGCTATTTATCTTTTATCAATGAGCAGGTTTGCAAGGGATTTGTCTATTTCGTTGTTGATGGTGGTCTTTTAAAAAAATTAGCTTTTGGATTTCTTTGTTCTTCTTAGTTACCTTTTAATATTTATTTTTTTAGGTTTTTTTCTCAGTGATCTCTTCTTAGTTTTTTTTTGCCTTATTGTGCTGTATTTTTTCTTATATCTTAGGAAAAGTGATGTTTTCTTTTTCTTTTATCCTTTGTTTCTAATAGTGAAGGAACTTAATGCTATATATTTTTCTCTGAGGTCAACTTCTCCATATCCCATCAGTTACGGTATGAAGAGTTTCCTTTTCATTGTTTTCAGTATAGTTTGTAATATCGTCTTTGCTTTCACCTGGGGGCATGATTTTTAATTGCATTTTTATTTGCTTGTCATTTTTAATATTTAGATCAACTTTGAATCTCCTATTAGTTTCCTATTTCTGTGTAACTAATTGCCTCAAACTTAGCCACTTGAAAGAACACCCATTTATTATCTCACAGTTTCAGTGAGTCGGAAATTCAGGGCTTAACTAGGTGCTCTGCTCGGGGTCATACCAGGCCAAAATTAAGATGTTGACAGGCCTGTGTTCCTTACTAGAGGCTCTGGGGAGAATCCACTTCCAGGCTTATGTGGAATTCAGTTCCTTCTCTCAATTTTCATGTAGTGCCCTCCATCTTAAACTAGCGAGACTGCATCACGTCTCTCTAATGCTTGGGATTTGTCTGACTTCAATTTCCATTCCATCTCTCCGAGCTTTTTTCCTCCTTCTTCCACTTTTAAGAACCGTGGTGATTACATTGGCCTCACCCAGATATTTCAGACTAATCTCCCCATCTCCAGGTCAGCTAATTAGCAAAGTTTTTTTTTTTCTTTTTGCCATGTAACATAACATATTCATGGTCATAACACCAAAGGGCGAGGTGATGAGGGACAAAATTTTGCCTACCACAGGTGTAATTTACATACAATGAAATGCAGATTTTAAATGTGCAGTTTGATAAGTTTTGACAAACGCATACAAGTTATATAACCACCACCCTACTCAACAATTAGAACATTTACATCGACCCTCTTGCAGCTTTTCAGTGAGTCTCCCTACCCTGACCTGGCCCCAGGCAACAAGGTGCTTTCTGGAATCACAGAGTCACTTTTGACTTTTCAAGATGTTACTATCAGTAGAATCATACAGTAGTCACACTTCAGCGTCTGGCTTTTTATATTCAGCATCATGATTTGAAAATCCATCCAGATTGTTGCATGCAGTGGTTCTATACTTTTCACTGCTGATTACTGCTCTTTTATGGGACTGTATCATTATTTGTATATCCATTCACAGTCACGTGGACCTTTGGGTTGTTTCCAGTTTGGGGGTTAATACAAATAAAACTGTTATGAGCATTCATGTACGAGTTTTTGTGTGGATATCTGTTTTCATTTATTTTAGCTAAAAATCTAGGAGTGAAACTGCTGTATCATAGGGTAAATGCATGTTGAACTCTCTAAGAGACTGCCAACAGATTTCCAGAA